GRAAGAGTGAAGTAGCTAGTGATTGTGTGCATAATAMGMAAGAAGCAATCAAGAGMWMTAATGAAACAATGATGGAGATAACTTGGCACTCTTGCAAGCATTTGTTTCAGCAGCCTGTTGGCTGATGAGAGTACGTTAAAGAGTGAATTAGCTAGCTATTGGTCTGTATGTGTGGTAGTGATTGTGTGCTAGTTAAGAGTAAGAGTGAAGTAGCTAGTGATTGTGTTCATAATATGTTACACCATAAGTTGTGTAATTTGCCAATTTTTAGATGCTTTGTATATATTGACGATTGAATTTGTAATCTTGATTCAGAGTGATGCAGATGACAATAAATTTGATACAGCATCATCGACTTCCCAAGCTCCTCTTAAGCATTTACATGATCAACTCGAGATTTACTGCTAATTTATTGTGCTGCTTTTTCTAATTGATCATAAAAAGTACAAGGGTGTTATCTTTCTTCTATCTCTCTTCTTAAGTGTCTTCTTGAATTACATACTTTGTTAATGAAGCTTCTTGAGGTCTTTATTTCAGATGTCCTTTGGTTTCTTATATTTTAGGCCAAAGTTTGTTCTTTAGCTACCATTGGTCGCTTCAACAGAGTAAACAGGAGAACTGTTGGCGTCATTGCTTCAAATTTGGATGTTTACTACTACTTAAGATATGACTCAGTAGATGACCTTGCTGAGATACGTAGGTGAGTAGTTGAGAGTCAATTTGTTTTCTTCTTTTCACTTTAATTATATTAGTTCAATAATCCATTAGAAGATTCACTAGATTGTCTTTCTGTTGCAGTACTCTTCTTGCTGTTCAACAACTGGCGAGATTACAAAAAGATGAGTTGGTCAAAGTAGGGTGCATTTGAGGTCAGTGATAGACATTATGAAATCTTTGATAAAAACTGGATTAGTAGTAAAGGTAGTCAAATATACTGTTTTGTTCTGCATAAAGTTAGTCTTGGTTCTGCATAAAGTTAGTCATTTACATGACACAAGTCTTTTGTCAAAGAGATACTCAAGTATCTCTTTGACTGAGAAACAAAACCCGAAATTTTTTTCCCGATATATCTTTCATTCAGGTTCTTCTCTAGTAGCAACCCAAACACCCTAAATTTGCTCTTTTCTCCATCTTTTGRTGTTTAGGTTATGGATCCTAACGATCCTTATAGTTTTCAGCCAAACTTTATGAACCTCTTGCATACACAAGAGAATAMTAACCCGGAAACTCWTATTTCTTTTTRRCCTTCTATCCAGATGAGSTCATCCCAATTCCCTCAGTCTAGTACCCAATTTAGTGATGCACA